TTTTTTTGCACCAGGAATTGAATTGAGGATGTTGTACCTGCCAGGCAGGTGCTTGTACCACTGAGCTATATCCCTGGCTCTACATTTCTTGTTTTTATCTTACGCCTACCTCTCCATTTAATTACTTACTATATTTTAGATCCTAGCTTTTGCCTTCTGCTCTGCAATACTTCTTTCCAGGCCTCCATCAGAAGGTTTCTTCCACTCAGTGGTTTGTCTTTCTGTTCTCTTAAAAATGTCTTTCCTGGGTGCTCTCTCTCCTATTGCCTTGATGGAGTTTTCTATTCTTTCACTAATACCATGTTATCTTGATTGCTGTAGCTTTATAGTAAGTCTTAAAATTAGGAGCTTACAAATATAATGACCCAATCCAAAAATGGGCAGCTGAGATGAATACACACTTCTTAGATGAAGAAATACAGATAGCAAATAAATATATGACTGGTGAGCTATCTTCCCAGCCCCTGCTTTGTATATCTTGAAGCATTACATGCCTGGTTAGGATTCTTATTTTTGTTCAAGATGTAAATTTATTAATATGAAATGTTCTCTGTGTCCTAGGTAATAATATTTTCTTTCTTTCTTTCTTTCTTTCTTTCTTTCTTTCTTTCTTTCTTTCTTTCTCTTTCTTTCTTCCTCAGCATCTCACTATGTGGTTCTGGCTGGGCTTGAACTCACCATGTAGCCTAGGCTGGCCTCAAACTCATGGCGATCATCTTGGATCAGCCCCCCCACCCCATGTACTGGGATTATGGGCATGTGCTCCATCCCCAGAAATATTCCTTTTTTTTTTTTTTTTTTTTCTTTTTGAGACAAGGTCTTACTACACAGTTCAGGCTAGCCTTGAGCTCATTTTATAGCCCAGGCTGGTCTCAAACTTCCAACGATCCTCCTGCCTCAGCCTCCCAAGTGCTGGGATTACACATGTGTACCACCATGCCTGTCTCCTTTCTTTTTTTTTAATTAAGCTCTTCCTGAATAGTTTAGGCTAAACTGTAACTCATGTAGCCTTAGCCTCCTCAGTGCCGGGATTATAGGCATGCTCTACCATGGCCAGTGATAGTCCTTATTTTGAAGTCTATTTCATCTGGTATTAATCACAGCTGTTCCTATTTTCTCTTATTATTGTGTTCACAGTATATTTCTTTCCATTCTTTCTCTTCTCTATTTGTCATCTATACCATATTTAAAGTGTGTTCCCGGGGCTGGTGAGATGGCTCAGTGGTCTAAAGCACCTACTT